AGCTACGACCATTAAGGAGTCAGAAAAACATTAAAAAATGTTTTCAGATAAATAGCACCAGTATAAATACCGCCCCTAACCTTCGTGGAGCAAAAGAAGTTGGCGATTTAAGAGAAGTTAATGGGCTTGTGCCTGCTATTAACAGATACAACCATCCTAGGCACTAAAAGAGGTAAACAAGCAAACGGCGCAAGAAACATTCGCATTAGGCGTATGCCACGTGCAGGAGGCGCCCAAAGTCAACGCGACCTTATTCAGTGACCGAAATGCTTTGAGCCGAGTCCAACAGGACATACCGGCCACACGTTACTTTTTTTTTTGGATTGAACAGCTACTTTATAAACTTGGAAAAGAAACGACTCAGCGATGACAATCCCACCGACGACAATCAGAACATACATATGTAAGTAGTTATACTTATATGATGGTTATGAAGCAGACTGAAAGTGGTCAGGAAGTGAAACACTTAACGTGCCATTCATATACATATGACATAGAGCATTTAGAGGGCCACCAGCCTCAGACCCAGACAAAGCAGAGTATTGAGCCTCCACCACAAACTTATTGCGAAATCCTGAGTCATAAAAGAAACTATCCTAGAGATTAACCGACTGGATGTTGATACATACATCCCATCGAGCCTATTATGCCTTTCACTCTGAAATTAGAGGTATAACCAAATGGCACATACATATAGAAGTGGCCAAAAAACGCTGACAAAACAAACAGCATCAACCTTAGCTTCCGAAAATAGTAGGAACATAAAACTGCTAATTTGAATAAGTCACGGGACATTTTCGGCGTTAAACTAGGCAGCGATATTGGGGTAGATGCGAGGGTGACGAGTCTTATGGGCGGGGGACACGCGCTTCTGGAGATGTCCATCGGACTGTTGACGCAGTCCATCTCACCTTATGAAAAGCAGTTTGATGCAAATAAAATGCGAAAACACAAAGTGACCAGCACACAAACACGTTGTTTTACGGAACGGCTTTCTCGGACCTTTTTAATAATATTCTACAAGGGTTACTCTTTTACCCTGTTACCCTGTTTTTCACAAAATACTCAAAACTAAGCTTAGGATTTGTTAAAATTTCCTTCTGGGTAACTCGCCCAGCGAGTTGAGGAGAAGAATCAAACACCTTCACGAAAGGGCCAAACCTAGATGGGAAAAACTCATTCTTTCATTATTTTCTCTTCGATCAGTGAGCGACCCTAATACGTCACTTCGATTACAACTAACGATCGCTGGAGGGAGAGGCCTAGTCTTCCCAGTGGGTCGAAGTTTACTCAAAAATTGTCAAACTCTTGATCACGATCCCATAAAACCTTAGTTTTTCTCCCATACGAAGCTGGACCCCAATTGGCTACTTTTGTAAGCTAGTACTTTATTTGTTAGAGTGTTTCCATTTCCTAATTAATAATAACGCGTGACTGTCGGACCTTGCGAAAAATATGTGTTTTATCGTGACCGTATCTCAGCACTGTTCTGTGCCCTTTCGAGCAGTACCACGCCCACATTAAACGACGGTACATCAGCTTTTTAAAGAAATAGCGAAGATGTCGCACCCATGACATTCGCGTTTCGTCGCTGCTGTTTGTCATTTTGTACACATAACAGCATAACACATTTTGTGGCGCACATGGGGTAAAGATGTTTGTTGGTCATGGTCGGATCTGTTTTATTTTTCAAAGGTTTTTCATCCGTTGTTTCCCATCGTTCCCATGCCCCGGGTTTTATTTTTGGCTCCGCCTCTGTTGTAGGGTCGATGGCGTTTCTTTTGCGGTTTATTGCCGCCGTATGACTTCTGACCTTGTGCTGTCTTTTTTATACACATTAAACATTGTTTTAATACCCTTTCTTCCACCCTCTAAGCTAGGTGTAGTGCTGTGTACCGGTTTCTCTACTGGTGGCCACCTCTTTTCAATATGGTGTCTCTGGGAATGGTGTCGCGATTGTAGGCTTGTGGGGTTTGTTCAGATTTACGTAATCCTATAAATGAGAACAGGTACATATATCAATACATTAATATACATATCGACCCCTTCTTGCGAAATGGGATGGATAAAAAATTGTCCAAATCTAAAACAACTTTTGAAAATTAAGACTTATTTTATTTCGGGGGAAATTAAACTTTTATGCTTTCATGTTGACGGCTTTGACGCGAAAACCTGCGTGCTACAACAATTTACACCCCCCGTAAGCATACATTGAAAAATTACTTTATGTTGCATGGAAGGATTAACAATAACTAGTATTCATCCATCACATCTTTTACTAATAAGCTGCAGTCAAATTTTCATTCAAACCTAACTAATAATGGATATTTATAATAACTCACAGCTTTGGATAACAAAAGAAACTTTTCGGACAACAAAAATGTTGAATTTCACCAAAAATTAAGTGAATTGACCCTTGTGAATAAAATATTACAGCTTAAATACATTTGGCAAAAATTTTCAAAAGATTGTATTGAAGCCGTTTTTATCTGATTTTTTGGGAATTTGTTTCTTTGGCTCATCAAAAAAAAGCTATGAATTTTTTTTACAAAGTATTAAACATATATTGAAGTATACTTTTTCAAGTATATTGAAAAAAAATTTTTAATTTTAAAGATACTACCACTTGAAGTATGGTACCAAAGAATAGAGTCAAAGTGGTCAAAGTGGTTGATCTAAAACCGTGGTGTCCACACAAATATATTCACATGGTAGACTTGCTTTTTAGAGCAGGAAGAATATTATTCTACATTATTATTACATCCATTATTACTCCCGTAACCACACAACTGCAAACAAACGTTTACTATGTTTGCAGGCAGAGACCGAGAAAAGAAATTTCCACCACATGTGACAGGGTTTTGAGCATCACAGTGGCTATGGCCGCAACTAAAAATTTGGAAAAATATTGAAAAATAAACTTTTTACACGACTTTTTCTTTTCTTTATGTTTTTGCCATAGTCCTATGGCTTATGTATGTCCTATAAATTTCAAGGTGATCGGTGCATTGGTACATGATAGCCCGATGCAAAGAAGTGGTTTCGAGAAAAACTCGCTTGAAAATTGAATAATGCAGTTTTGGCCGTTGAAGCGCATTTCCTCTCAGCACTATAACTTTGTAACGGGATTTTGTTCTTAAAGCATAGTACTGAGTTGACGAAAATCCGCTGTCAAACTCCATATAAAAAAAAACGATATTTTAAGAATTTTGTATTATTTATTTTATTAGTCTTTGTTCCAGTCAGTCCCAGGACCTTTCAAACAATTTTTCAAAGTTTAATTGTATTTATTTATGTTATGGTTTTTTCTATGGTGGGCCACACCAAAGTTGCAATTCGGTTGAGATCTAATCACTCTTCGGTACTTCGCCACTGGTGTGCTTCGGGCCCCTTCCCTTTTAAAACGTCCAAATGAGGGAATAAGTTAAAGAATCTAAGCATATGGAAGCATCCCGTCGCTTAAAATTTTTATTTTAGTAAACATGATTCCTTTATTATTTGGACTTAAGGGGTTATATACCTTTTTTATTTTAAAAAAATCGACAATTTTTTTATGGCTTTATCTTTAAGAACAATTCCTTGAGAACATTTTTCCAAATTTTCATAGAGATTGGAGCAGTAGAACAAAAGTTACAGCGCTCCTAACCGCGCGCCTTGTCGCGGCCTTGAACTGAACTTGAAACTTTGAACGCGAATATCTCGAAATGGTGTTTCTTGAAAAATGACTTTGCGGTGACATGGATTGGCGGAAAACTACTGAACCGATTTACTTCAATTTTTTTTTTTTTTTTTTAATGTTCGTAATGAAATTCTTCTGTGCTTGAACGATCGACTTTTCACGCACAAACTTTTTTTTCGCCAAAATGAATTTTTTAGTGAAATTTCTAAAAATTTCATTTTTAGCATAAAACGTTCTCGTATGCATAAAAAAACAAAAAAATTTAAAACCGATCGTTCAAGCACAAGGAATTACACTAAACTAATGAAATTTTTTTACTTTTATGGTTTCAGTTGTTTCAGTGTTCAGACCTGTTCGACCTGGGGAACTGTCACCGCAAGGCTCTAAAAAAAAACAAGAAAGGAAAGCTAACTTCGGGCGGAGCCGAAGTTGATATACCCTTGCAGTTAAAACCGGATATATATCGCAAACATCGGATATAGTTGGCCGATTCTTATGATTAAATAATAATAAAACCAATAAACTACAATAAAAAATCTAAAAAAAAATCCCAAGCTTCTATCTTCAAAAATACGAAAGTTGATATTTCTACCAAATACCATTGCCGATCGTTCAGTTATATTGCAGCTATAGGATATAGTCGGCCGATTCTAATGAAAATTGGCAGGTTGGATTAACTGACCAAAAATAGAATATGTACTAAGTTCAGCTTTCAGATCTTCAAAAACACAAAAGTTGGGTCATTTCCGATCGTTCAGTTATATGGCAGCTATAAGATATAGTCGGCCGATCCTTATGAAATTTGGCATGTAGTAATGATTTGCCAAAAATAGCTCTCTTGTCAAATTTTAACTCTCTAACTCTAAAAACACCAAAGTTATACCATTTCCGATCAATCAGTTATATGGCAGCTAGAGGATATAGTCGGCCGATCCGGGCCGTTCCGACTTATATACTGCGTGCAAAGGAAAGAAGGGTGTGTGCAAAGTTTCAAGACGATAGCTTCAAAACTGAGAGACTAGTTCGCGTAGAAACGGACAGACAGACAGACGGACAGACGGACATGCTTATATCAACTCAGAAGGTGATCCTGATCAAGAATATATATACTTTATAGGGTCGGAGATGTCTCCTTCACTGCGTTGCACACTTTTGGACAAAATTATAATACCCTCTGCAAGGGTATAAAAAGCCTCTAAGGGAAACAGCCACCCCTTAAAAACTATTTAATATTTTTTCACCAAATTTTGCACAAACATTGTTAATAATGTGTACTATCAAAAAATTAAAACATCCGTGTAATAGAATAATTGCTACATACCTAAAAGAAAATCCGAACTTTCCTCTTTTTCTTCGACAAAGAAGGTATATAACCCCTTAATGAATGGACCAAGCTGCATAATATGAAAATCTCGGTAAACTAATTTGGATTAAAAAGTGCTTTAAAGTATCTTTTGGGGAACAATATACTATGATAATTTACATAGTTTTTTACAAAATAAACAATTATGGACTCATCCTTTGAAAAATTTAAATTAACTTTCTGAATTAACTTTCCATATTTCCAGGCCCAAACCATAAGAAAGAATAGAAAAGTGAACACACTATTTGACAGTTTTTAGCTGTATACCATTTAAAAATATTATTGAAAGGAATAACACCAAACAAATAAGAACTGTTTTCACTTATTTAAAACTTTTCTTTGGCATTACTATTATTTTCAGAGCAGTCGACCAGTTGGTTAATAGCAAATAACGAGGAAAAAAATAGAAAGACTAGAATAAGAAGACGAAACTGCCTTATCCGGGAGTTCAGGTATTATTATTATGGTTATTTTGGTATTATACAGGTATTATGAATAAACGAATTGGTTTTCTGAAGCATATAAAATGGGGACGGGGCACATAATGACAACATGGGAGCCAAAAAAAAAAAACACTTCTATGTTTTTGAAAAATTTTCAATCGGGTTTTATCGGGTTAGACATAGTCGACAAACTATGCAAAGGAAATTAATATGTTCGCCCTGTTTCTGGCTCATTAGTAGCGTTGATATCCATATTGCAGCCCAAACATTTATGTTCCTAAGATTGTTGCCGGAGTCGCTTCTTTTGCTTACATCTTTGTAAGCCAATTTGCACGATGGTGAAAATTTCTTTCAAACAAAAATAAATATACTTACATATACAGTCTCGAACACTTGTTTGAATATGCGCCTTCTGAGTACGTATCCTTCAACAAGCTCCTACATTTGAAATGACAATGCTTACCTGTAAAAATCGTACAAGAATTCTTGCAACCATAATATATTACAACATGCTCGCCGTAACAATAAACCCTTGATTCGAGTGCTAGGAACTATGTTTGGGGCTGAAAATGTCCTTTAGGACACGTAAAAATGTCAATAAAGGTCACCAAGTATCCAACAGAGAAGGCAAATAGTACTAAGGAAAAAATATCGCACTTTTCCCAACTCTTGAAGGCAGGAACAAACGAAATAGTGAAGGCCCGGTAGAACACTTCTCCAGGCTCGTAAGTGGAAACTAGTGGACACGGGAAGGGTGGAGACTCTGACTGGCGGATTTTTTATTGATTACTTTCGGCAACTAATTGATAGCAATTTACCGTCTGAAGATATGTGGCCAGACTATTGGCTTCATAAAGCCTTGTAAAACTTCATAAAGACCAATTCATCGCGTGATCATTCTCCTCAGCGACTTGGCTATTTGAACTCTTTATGGGTAGCGATTTCATAACGGGCAGAATATGTAATGCGTTTACTGTTTGACCCTCTTTAGTTGTTCTTTATATTGTTCATTATACTCTCCGCTAATTCGATGAGGCTGCCTGGACAAGATAACTTAAATTTTGTAAGGGGTGTACATGGCAGCCAGCATCATTGGCTTAAGATGCCAGAATAATGCGTTCGTAGATCCAGTGTTTTCTAGGGTTGTTGGTTTTTGAAAAAATATCGTATTGATGATATTTGCTGTGAAAAAAATATCAATCGCTAATATTCAGAAATATCACCAAAAAAAATCGATATATCGAGTATTTTCGATATTTTTTATAGTCAGCTAAATTTGAAAAAAGGTTATTTTTAAATTTAAAAAAAGGTTTTAATATGTGTTTTCATCCGCCATGAACTGCAAATAAGACATATTTTTTTATTTAAAAAGTGAATTGAAAAAACAACAAATATTTATACCCACTTATTTATACCCAAAGTTGCTTGAGACTTTTATTTAAGTTCTTTGAAATAAAAAATAACAAAATTATTAAGGACATTGTATTCAAATTTATTTATAAAAAAAACTTAATACAAAAAAAAAAGTTTCATGGAATTCATGGAATATGTACTTAATAATGCTAATTACTTAATTCTCTTATTTAATGCTCTTAATTACTCTTAATTACAAAATAAATCTTTCTTCAATGATTTAAAAAAACTCTTTCGGTTATATGCTGGTCTGTCATTCGACTGCGGGAGTCACAGACAATACATTTAATGGCAGAAGCCAACCGTTCAGATGGAACCGAACTTCCAGGCGTGATAAGAAAACTTAAAGCAACCTTCGCTAGCATCGGCATCGTTGAAATTTGTGAGTTCCAGAATTCCAACGGATTTGTCTCCCAACTACAAAATGGCATACTCAAGTAAACCTGCATTTCCTTTCTTTCGCAACAAATATCGGAGAACACCAACTCAAAAATATTATTATCGACTATTTTTGCCCAAAAAATATCACGATAATAATATTTTTTTAAGAGAAAATATATCGATATATCGATATTTTGATATATTTCCGACATCCCTAGTGTTTTCCTTAAAAAATAAATTTAACAGCATCAGAAATTTTTAGATGCAAGACAAGAGGTTGGCTTAGAAAACACCAAGGGATGGAGCCGAAGTTTGTATATCTTTGCAGAATAGTAATGGTTTATAGTGGTTCGATAGGCATCTGCATATTATTTACAAGTACAGTATAATAAGCAGTTCAAATATCGGATACAGTTTGCCGACAGTTTAATATCGTAGTTCCTATAATGGATTCATCCATTAATTACACTTAGAAAAATGATGCATTCCAAACTAAATTCCGTAAAGCCGTACAGATATAATATTAATCCAGAAAACACTATTTTTAAGTCAACCTCTTTTTAAAAGAATGTTTTAATTGAATTTATTGAATTGAAATTAAAAAACTGCCGACGCAGGCTAAATCATTTTTCCATGGAATTTTTTCACCAACCAACATGAAAGGGAACAAAATTTTTTTACTCTTGAAAGGAAAACTGCTATAAGATAGCTGCCATAAGAACGTTAGGGGAAACTTATTTTTTTTTTTATCCAGATATTGACATTTTAACTCATATTTAAAGAAGGGGTTTTTTTTTTAAATAGTTATCGTCTGACTAAATTAGAATCGTTGTTCGATAGTTTGCCTAACACTCATTCAGGAAGTTTCGTTGTGACTCTCAATAGTTAGTAGCAACGAGCAAAAAAATTTAAGAATTATTGAGTAGTGTTTGTCTATAAATTTCAGTTTTTCAAACCACCGGATAAAAATTGTTAAGGTATGTAGGGTACCGCCCGCGCTACTAAAAATTTGATCGCGTTTTTCTCGAAACAGTGTATTTCAAGTTGGTCTGTATGATTTTTCAAACAGTTTTTATACGATCGGCCTTAAATTTTTTGAGCATGTTAGCGAATCTCGAGTTGAGAGCGGAGTCAGTCGAACACCAGGCAGATCCGCCATAACTAATAAAAAATTAATTAAGGCAGTGTTTTGGTGTTCTACTTCAGGGACATTTGTTATATCCCTACAATTTATAGCCGATATTGTACTAAATCGAAAATTTATAATTTCAATACCAAACTTCAAAATTGCGGGAGAAACTATCGGCCATGGAGGGCTATCAGAAAAGTACAATTGAATTTTTTTAAAACAAGAAAGGAAAGCTAACTTCGGGCGGAGCCGAAGTTTATATACCCTTGCAGTTAACACCAGATATATATCTCAAACATCGGATATAGTTATAGTATATACCAAATACCATTTCCGACCGTTCAGTTATATGGCAGCTATAGGATATAGTTGGCTGATCCTAATGAAATTTGGTAGGTCGGATCAACTGACCAAATATATAATCTGTACCAAGTTCCAGCTTTCTATCTTCAAAAACACGAAAGTTGGATCATTTCCGATCGTTCAGTTATATGGCAGCTATATAGAAATTTGGCATGTCGTAATGGTTTGCCAAAAACAGTTTTCGTGTCAAATTTGAACTCTCTAACTCTAAAAACACCAAAGTTATACCATTTCCGATCAATCAGTTATATGGCAGCTATAGGATATAGTCGGCCGATCCCGGCCGTTTCGACTTATATACTGCGTGCAAAGGAAAGAAGGGTGTGTGCAAAGTTTCAAGACGATAGCTTCAAAACTGAGAGACTAGTTCGCGTAGAAACGGACAGACAGACGGACATGCTCATATCAACTCAGGAGGTGATCCTGATCAAGAATATATATACTTTATAGGGTCGGAGATGTCTCCTTCACTGCGTTGCACACTTTTGGACAAAATTATAATACCCTCTGCAAGGGTACAAAAAGTAATTGGGTAATTTAGATTTTAAAATACATTTTGTATACCCTTACAGAGGCTATTATAACTTTGGTCAGAAGTGTGCAACTCAGTAAAGAAGACATCTCCGACCCTATGCACATTCTTAATCAGGACCACCTCCTGAGTCGATATAAGAGCGTCAGTTTGCCTGTTTTTAAACAAACTAGTCTTTCAGTTTAAGCGGTTCTACGCAGTTGTGGCACCCAAAGAGAATTTAGAATTTCTTAAAAAGAGAAAATAACCTATAAGGTATATACATTAATTATAATTAATTCATTATACATTATAAGGTATGTATATTCTTGATCAGCATCAACAGCCAAGTGGATATAGCCATGACTATATGTCCCTCTGTCGGTATGAAATTATGGATCTCAGAGACTATACAAGATAGAGCTATAGGGTTTGGCATGGAGACTCCTACAATACCCACGGTGTTCAAGTTTGTTTCAAATCGCAAATTTCTGTAGCACAAGTACAAGTTTTTGTATTTAAAAAAATGCTTTTAATGTCAAACTATTTCTGTAGTTGATATATATCTGAAAAATAAATCGTCCGAGTTGTGAAGGAGATATATGTATATACCTTTTCCCATACAAACGGGCTTAAATTTTGAACGCGTGGAATTCAAATACTATAAGAGATAGAACTATCAGATTTGAAACTTGGGATCGTATGATATCCGTGCAGATCACTTTTATGTCAAACGTTTTGACGCCCCTCTTTCCCGCAAAGCAGAAATCCGGTGTTAGCACCGGATTTTGGAAAATCTTTTGATGCCAAACTCTTT